TCTCTCTGTATCACTTCGCAACTTCTATAGTAAAGTTAAGATAAAGCCTCCTCTGTGCAGAAGTTACTGATTGTTTGATAGTTTTTGTGTCACAGCATTCAGACATTCCCCTTCCCCTGGTTATATTGTGTCTAGCCATCTCCTTTAACCATCTCCTACTCACCTCATGTAGGTGAGCTATGTACCATCCCTGACCATGATATAATGAGTTAGAAGTATTCTGAAAGGTTAATTAAAGACTTGTCTTATGAAACTCATTTTGTCCTGTTCATTTAAAAAGATTTCAGGCTTCTTATTTGAATTGATATTCAATTCAGTGAAAGAGATGGACAGAATAGCATGTTGTAAAGGCAGAAGCAGGAAAGGGACAAGTCAAAAATAAACAGGTTAGACTACATGGCTTCTGTCATTTTAGATTCACAAATTGACATTGGAATAAATTAGATTAAACAATAATATATAGCTGTTTTATCCATGAATCAGTGTACAGAATAATTTTTTTTTCACAAAATGTTTTTCATCTAAGGATTCAAAAGTCCCAGCTATTTTCAGTAGCAACATCTGTTGCTTTGCCAGTTTCCACAGAGATGAGCTCCTGTTGATTTTCATCACATTTGTTCAAGTCTGGAATCTGGTTAAAACATGCAAATAGTTGCAATGCCAGTTAAGAGATGCAATCATATAGTAACCTTTGAATAGTGCTATTCCCCTCCATTTATTTTGATTCCAATGACATTTGCAATTATGAATCAAAGCATAGATTGCTTTAAAATAATTTGGATGAGAATAAGAAATATAAAATAGCACACCGTAGAAGAACACTATGATGCATGCATGTTCTTAGAAAACAGTTACATTTACTTTAAATCTTCTCAATTGAAATCTGTATTTTATTTTTTTTTTCAATACCATTTTGGGATCACCTTTGTAAAAAGAAGTAGCCTGTCAATTACATGTTATAGTAGCACATTGTCTAAACTGCACATAGACCATCAGAGACATTTTCCTGTTACCCAACTTCTAATACTTTCACATCGGTATATATAGGTTCATTGCACATTAGTATTCTGCAGTGAAACCATGTATAAAAAGTATATAATGTTGTTAAAGTGGAAATGTCTGATATTTCTGTACCTACATCTACTAAGATAGTGAAAAGAACAGCAGAAAAACAAAGGTTAAAGTATCTCAAATATTTTTGGTGAAGTTACCAAAGTATTATAATAGATGTAATCACTCATCTTGCTGCAGGCCTTTCTCCTGCACCCAAGGTTCCACACTTAGTCTTTCCTGCTATTAATGCTAACTTTAGTGGAATACATTGAGTAGCCCTAAATATTGGGAATATAAGTATTTTTTCTATATTGTAAAAATGCTTTGAATGTTTAATTCACCATTTGCCAAAAGAGAATTGCTATCTGATATCTAGTGATTTTTAAATCCAATTTTCTATATTTCTCATATGAGACGACAAATGACTAGTATGTCAGAATTTTTTCCTTATATTAATTTAATATTGCTAATTTCCAGGAAGAGTAGGAATTGCAAGTGATCTCTACAGAATGATAAAAACAGCCGTCATTACTTACCGAGCACTGCCTAAATACCAAGCACTGTTCTATGCACTATACTTACCTTAAATTCTCAACAGTGTTGTAAGGGTATTGTAAAAGAGACAACTGAAGTTCAGAGAGTTTTAGGTAATTTTGATAAGCTATTTAGTAGTGAAATTGATAGCCAAATTCATATACTTTTTAATTATATAAAATATTGCTTTACAAGTATTAGTTTGGTATGGAAGGGAGTGAAGGTAATTTCATATAGTAGAATAAAATCGCCACCTTACTTTTAGTCAAAAACATTCACTAGCATTTTAGTAACAGTGCCTACAGATATTTTTATGTAAGTAAACATTTGGAATAATTTGTTTCCACTGTAGATGTCACTGCGCCTTAATACCATCATAATTTTATAAGCTTTTATGTTCTCCATTTTCTGCTCCATACGTGTTATATTATAATGTTAAATAATAGGAACAGAATTATGTTTTTTAATTTCATATTTTTTCTTAATGTGAATAAAGATCTCTAAAATGAAATGGACTAAGGTGGCAATGGGATTTAATTTTGTTTCAGTGTTTATTGTAAGAAATAATTCAACAAACTCATGATCTGAACTTCACTGTTTATATATAGGTATACATATATTATACGCATATAAATAAATTTTAATAAATATTTATACAGGTTCTGTATTAATATATTTATACAGGTTCTGGCAAATAATGCCCCTTTTTATTACAAAATCTTTTGGTACAAAATCATAAGCATGTAATTCTATAACACAACAATATCAGACTCAAGTACACTATATGATATTTTAAGTGAAATGTTCAAATTAAAACTAAATTGTTACACCCATATTATTACCTTACCAATCACATTCAAGCAGGTCTTACTTCTGCCAGACCCAGTATATACTTAGTGATTGCTTTTGAAGATAAATTAAAGGAGGGAAAAGGACTCATGGACATGAACAATGGTGTGATTGCTGGAGGAAGGGAGGTGTAAGGGGACTAAATGGTAATGGGGAAAAATTACAATAAAGATTAAATTTAAAACAATTCTTAATTATGTTTATTATTTTTATGTTTATTAACTTATCTTAATAGACAGGACTATTTGTTTTTTATTCCAGATGTTTTGCTGAATCTTTAAAATTCTCAAAATAAAACCAAGTAAATAGATCAAGAATATATTTTTTAATATTTTATGAATAAGTGACAATATTTACTTTTTTCTCATGAAATATTTAATCTCAAACTAGAAAGTATCTAAAAATATATAATGTTAGAGTGTGTATGTCTAAAAAACAACAAAGCACTTTTTAAAGTAATATTATCATCACATATAAGTATTTCTGGTGCCTATTCCTGATATAATATTATCGACACTAATATTTGGCCACTATCAGATCTCCACTATGATAGTTAAATTGATAGATTATTTAGAATTGGGTTTCTAACAAAAATAAATAAAGACAGCATGGCAAAATAAAAACAGAAACAATCACCCAGAAATTAAAATAATGTACCTTCTTTTTTCCCTATAGTTCCCTAGATATGTTGCCAAGGAAAGTCAAAAGATTTACTGTCTTTTAGCAGTATATTCCTTATTTTAAAAATGAACATAAAAATCTTTTCATATCATGATGACATTGAGGATTAGAAATAATGTAGAGCAAACTCCTAATAGTGCTTGAGATATGGCATTTGTTTTCTATATGTTTCTTTAAAAACTTTCCTTTTAAAAAAGACTATTATAAGTGGGTAATAGCATATTCCCTGGTGTAGATAACTGATAATAATATAAGGCAAGATTTTGGAAAGAATCAGTAAAAGATTTATGTTTAATATGGCTTTTTAATTATGCATTTTATTCTAAGTATTATATGTGTAATTAGTAGGCAGTAGGAAAAAAGACAGAATGTCCCTTTATCCAAATAATTCCAGGTTTAAACCCAATAAAAATTGTTTTGTAAAGTGATAGAGAATAGAAATGAAAGAAAAAATACTATCATTGTTTAAATTACACTTAATTATGGAAGAGGTGAATTTTTAAAACTCATCTATCATCTTACATTGTAATAGCATCTAAGAGAAGTCTGAGAGTAAATGTAGAGAAAAGTAGTGAATTTTGCAACTTAGAGAAATTGTCTTTTGACTAACATAAGACTGAAATTTGATATATGGTTTTAATTTATTCATGGACTTCCAGTCTTCACACAATGAATATTCAAACTTTGACTTAATAGTGATGCAGTCTATAGATATGATTTATGAAGCAGATACAATTAAGTCAGAATAGCATGAGGTAAATATCTCAGCAATATAATAAATAAATAAATAAATAAATAAATAAATAAATAAATAGCAAAATTCGACATTTGATATCCAGAATCAGTTTCAGAGATTCTTATAGCAGGAATAGAACTTGTGGAATCTAACAACAGAATAAACTCATCAACAAAATAGAAACAGAACTAACCGTGCAGGGAGCGGACTGAGAGCCGTCAAAGGGGAGGGGTGCAGGGACTGGATGAAAGAAGGTGGGGAGATCAGCCAAAGAACAGTTACGGCCCATGGACATGGACGGCAGTGTGGCGGTGGCCTGAGGGATGGGGGTAGGGGTTGGGTTGGGAGGGCAAGGGGGAGAAGTGGCGAAAACTGTGGTAAACAATGAAAATGAAGTTAACTAAAAAATATGTTTATAAAAAGAAATATCATGTGGCCCAGGTTACTGATTTTAGCATATAGATTACAAAAACGTGATCAAAAATTCATTCTGGCCTTAAAGATCCAGAAGAATGGAACCACCACAATGACTTCCCATTATCCAACATAGAAATATTTCCACCTTCTATTTATTTAACAAGTACTTGTGTTAGTTATCTTTGCTGTCATTTATTAAGAGCAAACTGTACATGCTGTTATATTTTATGCTCACCACAGTCTGCGGCACAGGTGTTATTTTCCTTGCTTTACTCCACAGAATAAGGAAGTGATGCTCAGTGGAGTATCTTCCTTAATTTTATATAATGGTAATGTTTGGATTCAAAGGCAGGTTTGTTTCATATGTCACATTGCTTTTTGAAAGATGGGAAATGATTGTGATTTCTCTTATCTCCTCTTAGAGACATATATGTTGATATTCAGTGCCCTTTTATTTTAGTTTATAGATAAATAAACAATTAATTATGCTTTTGATGTATTACCCTCTAAATATGAAAGTACCAGTGCCCTGTGTTTTTCATTGGAAGAAAATATGTGCCTCTAAGCTATCAATTTATATGAAAACTTTTAACATATACTATTACTCATTCTACTCAGATCAACAATGCAAAACTTAAATAAGGAAACAAGATAAATTCTTTAGTTCTAGTTAGCTTTACTTGTGCTTCCACTATGCATCATTTTTCAAGAATTTTCTTTCTGCTTGTAGGGATGACTTGTCAAGCTCGAACATCATACACTGAAGATGAAGTTCTTTGGGGTCATCGGTTTTTTCCTGTAATTTCCTTAGAAGAAGGATTCTTTAAAGTTGATTACTCCCAGTTTCACGCAACATTTGAAGTCCCCACCCCACCTTACAGTGTGAAAGAACAGGAGGAAATGCTTCTCATGTCGTCCCCGTTAATAGCGCCTGCCATAACTAACAGCAAAGAGAGACACAATTCTGTGGATTGCTTAGATGGACTGGAAGACATTAGTACAAAACTTCCATCTAAGCTGCAGAAAATTACTGGAAGAGAAGACTTTCCCAAAAAACTCTTGAGGATGAGTTCTACAACTTCAGAAAAAGCCTACAGCTTGGGAGACTTGCCCATGAAACTTCAACGAATAAGTTCAGTTCCTGGCAACTCAGAAGAAAAACTGGTATCTAAAACCACCAAGATGTTGTCTGATCCCATGAGCCAGTCAGTGGCTGATTTGCCACCAAAGCTTCAAAAGATGGCTGGGGGAACAGCCCGGATGGAAGGGAATCTTCCAGCCAAATTAAGAAAAATGAACTCTGATCGATTCACATAACAAACACTGCCTTAGGCATTATTTACTGTTTGATTTAGTAATAATCTAATATTTGGCTGATGAGGTAATCCTGTCTAAGGAATCTGAAAATTAAATTCCACCCCCCAAGTCAAATATGCTTATCTGACAGCCCTTTCTTCTCAAGTATTGCTACTGTGCAGAAAGCAAAAGTTGTGAAGGGAGGACATCATAAGGAAATTCTTATTAATGGGCATGTATTATCACATCATGCATGCAATAATGTGCAAATTTTGCATTTAGTTTTATGGCATGATTTATATATGGTATATTTATATTGTATATTCTGGAAAATATATATATATATATATTTAAAGGAGTGGTACTCTCCATGACATTTCTAACATATATATGTATTAAGCCAAACATGAGTGGATACCTTTCAGGGCGATAAAACTGTATATATGTGTGTATAAGTATATACATACATATATGTGTATAAGTATACTTATACACACGTATGAACACACACACACATACATACATATATATCTGATAAAATTGTGATGTTTTGTTCAAAGTTGTAGTTCTTGTGCATGTTTAATTTATTATGCTAGGAAGGCTACTGGCATTAATTATTAATACCAAATATTTTAGCCTTAAATTATTTGTTATTTTAAAATCTGATTTAATGTTTTCTGCTGTTTAAGGTCCTGGAAGATTTTCAATTGTACTTTATATGAGGGAGCCCCACAAGTGTGTGCTATTTATGGCCCTGCAAAAATATACTTAACTCATAAATTTTAGAGCATACCAATATGTTGAAAATTTTTATAATTTTTGAAACCTGCTAGTACTGGGAAGAAATAAACATAGATTAATTTGGGAATTGGTCCTCTCCTGGACTAATTAAAATCTGGATATCTGTTTTGTATATGATCTAACACAAATATGAGCTCTGAACAAATGCTGAGTCATTGTGAGTCAGTAACCAAGTTATGTTGCATATACAAGAATCTGTGTGAAATTACATAATTAACGAGCCCTGTTTCAAACTCAGTCAATTTTTACTTTGTTTCTAAAACTTCTGTCATTTTAAAAACCAATCACTTATCTTGAGGAGACATGACAATACAATGAAACAGATGATAAATGTTTATGCTTTAAATATGTATGTCTAATCAAGCTTTTTTCCCAGAGCTTTTTTAAAAATTTTATTTTTCATCTACAATTTTCATTCAACACCTTTTTTTGGATATTAGTTTCAGGTGTACAGGACAGCAGATAGACATTCATACAGGTTACAAAGTGTTTTCTCCAAGTCCTTCTTCTTATGCCTTTCTTTTATTTGTTGTAATAGGACAGACTTTATTTTCTCACCTGGGGAATCTGCCCCATCCCGCACCTGTCACTCAGTTCAGAAGGAATGTTCGGTATATACTGGAGAGAATTTAAAAGTAGATGAATTGAAGATAGTTTAGTCATCTGTGGAGTTTTTTCTGTTTTTGTGTTGTTTCTGCCGTTATTTGGTTGGTTAAACACTGACTTTATTAGTGTGTTGGATCCCTGGCCTACCAAAATAATTTTAGCAGTACTATTTTTTTAATGCTAAGGTTTTATATTTATGATTCATTAAGAAATCAAAACTATTGCTCGGTAAAACACCTACAAAATAAATATTTGGAATGCAGAGATTTTTATGAAAATTTACAAGTGCTCCTTATCAAAATATCATGGATTTTCATATAAAACTGTTTTGATCATTGCGATCTAAGTCTGCCCATAATTAATCTCTCTCTCCTCATTAATGAGTAAATCTTTAATGGTTGGTATGGGCACTCATCATTTCCCATTTTTAGCAATCTTGTGATAATTTCCTTATTGGAAAATTATTACATCAACAATTCTCTTATTGACTACAATAATACCTTCTGGCTACCTCTGTATCAACCAAATTCTGTAGGTGCAAACATATACCAGGGAATTGTTACTGGCAAAATGAGCATCCATCCACTGTGAATAGAGCTGGTTGCCATACCCCTTAATCTCCAAACTTTCCTTTTTGCTAGATATAAGAAATGAAATAGTAGCAGAAAGAGAAGGGAGTCCAGGGGTCATATTATATTTATTATCAGTGGAAGAAACCACATAGATTATTTAGTCCAAACACTTAAAACTAAATAGAGCCATAATTTAACTTGGAGAGTTATTTTGTCTTTGGTACCAAGGAGAATATGGACCCAAAAGTAAACTCTCCAAATGTATTAATTAATTCATTTAATGATTTTTTTTTTTTGCATGTCTTTTATGGCCCAGGCATTTCTAGCTCCTGGGGGATTTATGTATGACTAAGTCAGAGGAGGTCACTGCCTATTTGAACAATGCGTATCAGTAGGAGAATGGGAGGGGATGCTGTGAGATAGACAAAAACCAAGTGCGTTGACTTCAGACAGTCAAGATAATAGTTAAAGGAAGGAAAACAGAGTAACATGAAAAAAATGACTGGGTGAATTAAAAATTGACTATTTTAGAAGAGGTGTCTGGTTTAAGGAGTGGGTGATACTTAAACAGAGACCTGGATAATGAGAAACACCACTGTTGCAAAATTAACGTTTCTTAGTGAATGCTATTCCTTTATTTTCAGCACATATGTATCAGAAAGGTATGATTTCTGCATGTAATTGCAGTGTAACCCCTATTGCAAAGTTGATCATAGGTTCCAGTTTACCCAAGAGAGTTCCAGTTTTTCCTGTTGTAACTGTGTAATTATTAACAGCACTCCCTTTCACTCTTAGAGTGTCTTGGTTTGTACATTATATGGTGACTCTATGTTTTTGTTGAAACTAACTAAATTATAAAGTCTAATATATTTGGATAAAAATAAAGAATTGCTTTTATTCTCCTTTTGCTGATATTTTTTTGACGCTGATCATTCCAAACAAAATCATCCCAGTTTCATATATTTCGGCCTAGAGGACTCTTATCAAAGTGATTTTGTGTAACATTTATTCAATCTGCACATGACATGTTTTCAGTGAACAGTTCTGCATTTTAGTGACTGAATAAAAAATAAACCTCTGGTATTTCCATTTCAGGAGGCTGAAAGAGCTCAAATCAAAGAGAGTAAAAGTCAGCATGAGCCAACAAAAATTACAGCCTGCCAATATGGTGACTCTTGAACTCATTATCTATTTAAACAAATACAAAATAATTCCTTTTAATTGGACTTTCATAGTATAGCTCCTGTTACAATAAAATATTTCATTCTCTTTATCAAAATGGTGTAAATAAAAGATATATAATTATTTTGATAATACCTATCTTCAATTTTAAATATTCATCCTTTTTAGCAATATGTGAATACATGTATGTGAATATTTACAATATGAAAAATAATGATATTTTATCATTAACCATTTCAGAAGAAATTCTGAGGCCATTTTAAATTCACTTATATATGGCTTAAAATATTGTAAAATTATTTAGTTGTCTTATTTCTCAAGAGCCACTTTGTCCAAAAAAAATGGAACCATATGGAGTATTTCTATGGGAGGAAGAGTTAGATTACGGAGAAGGTATTTTACATTGTATTTGTATTATGAAATTTTCTACCAATCCATACTATGAAGAGAGTTTACCTTGACTGCACAGCACATCTGTGATCTCTACTTTAGTAGTTGTGCCTGAATTACATATATATTCAAATTAGCATCAAACTAATTGCATTGTCTGGCATGCAATTTACAATTATTTAAATGTACAGGTCATTTAGGTTACAAAAATATAAACTCATGTATTCAATACAGAACCTTCAGTTTTATAAAAACTATATTAAACTTTCAAAACATGATTGGGTTTGATTTTTAAAGTGTGCTCATTATTTTTCTACTCTCCAACAGTTAATTATTCATATTTCTTGATTCAGTGTGTTTGTCATAAAACTTTTAACTCTTAAAAGGTAATGATTTAATTCATCACAATTCAGTCCTTGAAGTTAATTTTTATTTTAGCTCCATATTTGTGAGACACTTAAGCAACATGGAATCTGAACTTAATGCATAATATTTGCAATCTGCATTTCTTGGAGGAAGTTTCATGAACATCTTTTCCTTTGCTGAGCCAGTGTTTTAAAAGTGACAGTAAGTACAGCAAATACATAGTTTTCCTATTTTTGCTTAAATATTAAGTCACATTTTCAAAATGTGTTCAGTTACTTTTTTTGAAAGAGTTTCATAGAAAAAGTGCATTCCTGCCCTGGCTCATGTTGCTCAATAGATTGAGTGTCAGCCTGCAAACCAAAGAGTTGCTGGGTCAATTCCCAGTCAGGGCACATGCTCGGGTTGTGAGCCAGGTCCCCAGCTGGGATGTGCAAGAGGCAACCACACACTGATGTTTTTCTCCCTCTCTTTCTCCTTCCCTTCCCCTCTCTCTAAAAATTAATAAATAAAAATAAATCTAACAGAAATAATTTAAAAAAAGAAAAACTGTATTCCTAATTTCGGATCAGACCAGCAGATCTGTGAAATGTAACGTCCCTGGCAATTCTCAGAATTAATTTAAAAAGCTAAATGACTGCAGCTTCTGGCCTAGAGGAGCTCAAAGAAGAAAGTATTCATCATTTAGTAGAATGCATGTTTCTCCAATTCTGATTTTCTTACCTGAAAAGTTGTCTAGAAATCATGAGTGTCTCAGAAATCTTGGCTATATTGGATCTACGGGCGCTATAGACGCAGATGGTAGGGCCCATTATCTTCCCCTCGCTTACTAAGGACTCATCTCTAAATCCTGCGTATCCGTTCCTAGCTTCAAGTGTCAATCACCTTCATGTGATTTGCACACATTATTTGAATCTTCATAACTCTACATGGTAGAGACTATCCCAGGTTTTACCTTGGAAAAAGCTAATTCTCAAATAGGCCGTTTAGTCTTTTTAATTAAATTAAATCTAAGAACATGAGAAGTCCCTGCCCTCTTGGGTGGTTCTCTTCTTATGTACATGCAAATCCCTAACCATTCTGAAACTGCTTCTTGAGTTTTCATTTGGGGACATTATTTGCTTTTACGTGAGGTAGATGAAGATCCAGGTCTTCTTTCTCCAACTCTTGCAACCCACTACACCTCTACTGCATACACCTCACCCTAAATTTCCAATGTTGTTATGTCATGTTTTTTTCTTTTTCTTTTTTTTTTTTTTTTTCTCATTTTTTCTTTTTGCCCCCTCCCACCTTCCCTCCCTCAGCTCTTCCCCTTTGGTTTTGTCCATGAGTCCTTGCTATATGTTCCTTGACTTTCCCCTTCGCTTCCTTTTCCCCCGCCCCCCCTTCCCTCTTGTCTCTGTTGATTTCTTTTCCTTTCAGTGTTGCTGGTCATATTTGCCTTGCATCTTTGCATTGTTGGTTAGGTTCCACTTATAGGTGAGATCATATGGTATTTGTCTTTCGCCCCCTGGCTTATTTCGCTTAGCATAATACTCTCGAGTTCCATCCATGCTGTTGCGAAGTTTAGTAGTTCTTTTTTTCTTTCTACTGCGTAGTAGTCCATTGTGTATATGTACCATAACTTTTTGATCCAATCATCTACTGATGGGTATTTAGGTTGCTTCCAACACTTGGCTATTGTCAATTGTGCTGCTATGAACATTGGGGTGCATAGGTTCTTTTGAATTAGATTTTTGTTTTGTTATCTTCCAAATTAATACTGTACCTAGATTTTGAATATAAAATATAGCCAGTCAAAACATAAAACTTTTATTTCTTAGGAAGTAAAAGGTTTTGAATATGTATTCAATGTATCTAACATTGAAATGTAGAAAAAAATAATGTAAAAAAAATATTGATGTTGAAATAGAGAAGAAATTTAATGTTAAAAACTTTGTATTAACTGAGTAACTCCCCCGTGGTGAGAAATACTATATCAAATATAAACCCATTATGTTTCAAAAAAAAAAAAAAGGAAGACATTCTTAATTTTAAGTTTTATGACTTTCAGTTTATGTCCATTTATTCGATTTCATTTATCTGCCAAGATTTTAATTTCTTCTATAATAGTTTTAATTTTCAATAACTTTTTAAAATCCAAACATTTTTAAAAGGGTCTTTTTCTTATACCATGGATGAAGAATCTTAACTCTTTAAAATCATTAACCATAGTGTCTTTTTTTTAAAAGGACAAAAACTTTATTATTCCCCTCACATGTGGAATATAAAACAAAAGAGTAATAAACTAACAAAACAAAAACAAACATAGATGCCGACAACAAAATCGTAGTCCCTGGAAGGGAATGCAGTGGGGGAAGGGTAAATTGGGTAAAGGGGGTCAAATATATGGTAATGGAAAGAAACTAGACTTTTGGTGGCAAGCAGAGTATACAGAAATCTATTCTTTTAAATGTGTCTTCTCCCTGCATTATATATATATTTTAGTATCTTTTAATATATACAATTTTGAGTCTATTTTCTAATGGGTCAATCACTGCTACTCTGTGCAAACATATAGAGAAAGTCCAAACTTGGTCTTCAATGTTAAGTGACATGGTTGGACTATTTACCTGAAATTAGTATCTTTAGGCTTCTTATTTAAGGTCAATAACATTACCTAGCTAAAGCCCTCATAATCACCTTCACCATGGTAGAACAGGATCCCCATCCGCAAGTGTGCCTAGGATCCTTTATTGTAAAAAATGTTTTATCTACATCCAAAACTAAACTGTCATCATTTTCTGCCAGCATGTGAAACAATTAACAATATGAGTTAAATTTTAAAAAAAAAAAAGTGTGCCTTTATTTTTTTAAAGGTTTTATTTATTTATTTTTTGAAAAAGGTGAAAGAAGGGAGAAAAAGAGAGAGAGAAACATTAAAGTGTGGCTAATGCCTCTCATGCGCTCCCTACTGGGGCCCAGCCAGCAACCCAGGCATGTGCCCTCACTGGAAATTGAACTGGTGATCCTTTGGTTCACAGGGTGATGCTCAACCCACTGAACCACACCAATCAGAGCAAAAGGGTACCTTTAAAATAGACTCTCAAGGAGGCTTTCTTTTTAGTTTTTTGTTTGTTTTTTTTTTTGCTGCTGTCTCATTTTCTGACCTCTTTGTTCTGCAAAGCCTTTAAAATTTATTATTTCAGTGTTTTAGGAAGCAGCAGAAATAAATATTCATATTTAATGTGTCACTTTGAGAAGAAAGGCTAGCTTAACTGCTTTAGCTTTCTATAACTGTTATCACAAATTACCACAAATTAGCAGCATAAATAATACAAATTTATTATTTTACAACCTGTAGCTAGAAATCCAACAGGTCTCACTGGGCTAAAATCAGTATGTCACCTGGACTGCGTTGTATTTGTTTCTTCCTGGAGGCTTTGGAAGGGAATTCCTATCATTGATCTTTCCAGTGTCCAGAGGCCAGCCACGGTCTGTGGCTCATTACCCCTTCTTTCATCATCAAAGCCACTAAACTTAATCTCTCTGTGTCTTCCTTCCATAGTCACATCTGGTTCCGACTTCCCTAGATTTCTCCACTGTTAAAGAGCATTGTGAATACATTGGACCCATTGAGATAATCCAAATAATTCCCCCATCCCAAACTCCTTAATCTAACATATACCAGTCCCTTTTACCAAGTAAAGTAACCTATTAATTGGTTCCAGGGATGAAGATATGAAGTTCTTTGGGGGTCGTTATTCTGACTACCTCCCCAGGCTTTCTTACTTATCCTCTTTTATATAAATATTTTTTAATTTGAACCAGGCATTTCTTTCCAAAATCTAAGTATATTTTTATGTGAATTTAAATATAAAATCAGGCATTTTAAAAAAATTAATTACATCCTAGCTTGTGAAGAAAC